ATCCCAGCACTTGGGAGGCTCAAGCCTTTGATCCCAGCACTTGGGAGGCTCTAGCCTTTAATCCCAGCACTTGGGAGGCTCAAGCCTTTGATGCCAGCACTTGGGAGGCTCAAGCCTTTAATTCCAGCACTAGAGAGGTGGGGGAGAGGAATATAAAATGGGTGGAGACAGAATCTCAGCCACCCATTCAGTCTGAGGGTTTATAGAGACAGAAGCCCCACCCATTCAGTCTGAGATTTTGTAGAGGTAAGAAGTCTCTAGTGGCTGGCTGCTCTGCTTCTGATTTTTCAGCTTTCACCCTAATATCTGTCTCCAAATTTTTTGTTGTTAAGACTAATTAGGACCGTGCATCAATTGATAATGCTACTGAAATTATTACTACCCCCCCCCAATTTGATATATCTGGAGTTAAAGAGCGAAACAAACGGAAGGAAAGACACCTGGCAGTAAGTAGGTAAGAAAGGACATTTCACTAGTAGAAATTACATACACGGGTAGTATTTTATAACCAAGCATAAAATTGGCAACAAACTTCAGTATTTCACAAAGCTGGATACCTCTCCATTGTGAACAATATACCAATGACATTAGACTCATTTGTGAAATGTTCCCATACCATTAAACCTCATATGCCCTTATTACACATTATGACATTATTTTATGTCCCATATAGAGAGGTAAAAATTCCTATGAAATACCAGTTTAGACATGTTAAATATAAAAACTGTATAAAATTGACAAAACATAGTGTTTAGTTTATAGGAAGAGACAAAATGTCCATATCATGCTTTTAATACAAATTACATTATTCCGACTATTCCAGGCCACAGGCAAACATCACTTGCTTTAGGCCTCCTCAATTCATATACTATAGACGGATTCATTTAAACTATACAATTCAATGCCTTTTGGTGTATTCACAGCTGTGCAACTATCATAATCCTGTCTAGAACATGTTCCTCTCCTAAGGAAACCTTTAACAGCCATACCACCCCTTTCTCTGAATCTGAAAACCTATGTGACCACTCATCTACCTTCTGTGCTTTATAGATTTGTCCTAATTATGGACATTTTCATATAAATCAAAGCATACATATGTTGTCTTTTGAGTAACTTCTGTCACATTCAACAAAGTGGTGTCAACAATCATATGCTATACCTTTTGTCATTACTGCATTCCTTTTTATTGCAAAATAGTATTTGACAATGTGGCTATACCATGTTGGTTTATTCATTATCAGTGTATGAATATGTGACTGTTTACTCTGGTTATTAGGAATGACACTACTATATAGGTACAAGATTTTTATATGAACATTATTTTACCTTCTGTTGGGAATTATTTAATGTTACAGTCAATGAAATAAAACAAATTGAAAAATTCAATTCTTTAGTTGGACATTTCAAGTGTTTATCAGGCACAGAGTTAACTGGCTCTGACAATGACACATAAAACATTTCCACAGTCAAAGCTTCATGGAGAGGTCTGTAGCTGTGAAACCTCGTGCCTCGAGTACAGCGCTGCTTCAGTGTGGCCATGGACCCATGTTGGTCAAGAACGTACCACATACATGGTGCAGATTATATGTATGAAAACGCATAGCCGAAGGGGGGTAAGAGAAGAGCAAACACCAGGAAAAAAGAAGAACCATCAAGAAAATTCATCGTGACGTCGGGCTGGCAGTCCGGCTGGTTCTAACTGCCATGCTCCAGTGAGCATCCTCAGTGTCCGGGGCACCGGCAGGAGCCACCATTCCTGCCTGCGATTGTCAGGGTTTTGTTTGTTGTTGTTGCTGGGTTTGTTTTTTCCCCAACAGGGCTTCTCTGTGTAGCTTTGGAGCCTGTCCTGGAACTCACTCTGTAGCCCAGGCTGGCCTCGAACTCAGAGATCCGCCTGCCTCTGCCTCCTGCATGCTGGGGTTAAAGGAGTGTGCCACTATTGCTCAGCATGAGTTTTGTTTTGTTTTCTTTTTTTTAAATTTTATTATTTTTATTTTATTATTTTTTCAGATATTTTGTCTGAATGTATGTTTGTGCACCACATGCATGCCTGGTACCCAGGGAGGTCAGAAGAGGGTGCTGGAGTCTCCTGGGACTAGAGTTATAGATAGATGGTTGTGAGCCTCTATGTGGGTCCTGGGAATTGAACCCGGGTCCTCTGGAAGGGCAGCAGTGCTCTAACCACTGAACCATCTCCCCAGACCGAGTTTTGTTTTTTAAGACAAAGTTTTGCTAGTCTTAAATATGTGACCCTCCAACCTCAGTCATCTGAACATTGAAATTATTGGCATGTGCCACCATGCCCAATTTGTGTTTGTGTTATTACAAATGAATTAAAAAACTTTAAAAAAATTAAATTTACAAAGAAAAAAATTACAGTAAGCTAAGGTTAATTTATTATTGAAGAAAAAGACTTATAAATCAGTGAGACTAAAGTATACAGTGTCCATAAAGTCTACAATAGTGGACATTAACATCCTGGACATTTACAGTTACTCACTACTCACTCAGACTCACTCAAACCAACTTTGGGTTCAGCAAATTCCATCTATCATATCTGTTTCACACAGATCATTTTTTTGTGTCTTTGCTGTATCTTACTGTGTTTAGGTATCTTCTACATGAAAGTACTTAGCACTGCATTTAAAAGGCCTACATTATTCATACAGTTAAAAGGCTATATAGTTTTAGGAGCAATAGCTTTCTAGAGCTCAAGTTTACAGTAGGCTGTACCAAGTAGGTTTATGTGAGCACATTCTATTTTGGTTGCATGGCCACAAAGCTACCTAACAATTCACTTTTCAGACCATTATCACATTCTTTTTCTTTTAAAAATCATGTGTGTTTGTGTATGTAGTATACATGAACACATGTGTACAGGTACATGCACATGTAGGCCACATGAGGCCTCTGGTGTCCTGCCTGTCCTCTCTCCCTGCCTGATTCCCTTGAACTTTATCTCAGTGAACCTGAAGCTAGGGTGACAGCCAGCAAGCCTGAGATCTTCCTGTTTCTAGCCCCATGGTGCTGAGGCTGTGGTCACGGGCACACACAGCCATGCCTTGCCTTTTGCATGTGTGTTGGATTCGGATTCAACCCACGAAGCAAGTGCTCCAATCTACTGAGCCATTTCCTCTGCCATCATATATCACCATTCAGCAGTGTCTGAATACAGCTACAAATAATACAGAATGACCTATCAGAACTAGGCATAGGGCCCCCCCCCCCCCCCC